GACACCAGTTCTTCTTTGTAGGTCTGATAAAATTCTGTGTGAGACCGTCTGGTCCAGGACTTTTCTTTTTAGGAAGGTTTTTTATTGCTGTTTCAATTTCAGTACTTGATATTGGTCTAGTCAAGAATTCTATATCTTCCTGATTGAACCTAGGGAGGCTGTGTGTTTCTAAGAATTTGTTCATTTCCTCCACATTTTCCAGTTTATGTGATAAAGGTTTTTATAGTATTCATAGATGATATTTTGTATCTCCATAGCATCAGTTGTAATTTCTCCTTTTTCATTCTTGATAAAGCTTATTATAATTCTTTCTTTTCTGCTTTTCATTAATCTAGCCAGAGGTGTGTCCATTTTGTTTATTTTTTCAAGAACCAACTTTTTATTTTATTAATCTTCCATATTGTTTTTTCTTGTCAATTTTATTTAGTTATGCTTTAATCTTATTTATTTTACTTCTTCTTCTGGGTTGGTCTTTTCATCCTTTTCCAGTTCCTTGAGACAATTCATTAGATTGTTTATTTGTGATATTTCTCTCTTTTGGATGTAGGCATTTATGGGAATAAATTTTCCTCACAAGACTGCTTTAGGTGTGTCCCACAGATTTTGATAACTTTTGTCTCCTTTGTTATTTAATTCAAAGAATCTTTTGATTTCCTCATTTATGAAATAATCACTCTGTAGAACATTATTTAGTTTCTATGACTGTGTAGAGGTAAGAGTTTCTGTTGGAGTTGATTTCTGATTTTATTCCACTGTGGTCTGAGAAGATGCATGGTATAATTTCTATTTTATAACATTTTTTGAGAGATGTTTTGTGACCTAGGATATGGTCAATCTTAGAGAATGTCCTGTGAGCTGATGAAGAAAGTGTATATTCAGTGGCTTTGGGGTAGAATGTTCTGTAAATGTTAGTCAATGGCATTTGTTCTAGAGTTCCATTTAAGGCCATTGTTTCTCTGTTTGTTTTCTGTTTGGAAGATCTGTCCTGTGCTGTCGGAGGGGTGATGAAGTCTCCAGCTACTGTGGTGTTGCTGTTTATCATTTTGTTTAGTTCAAGTAGAGTTTGCTTTATGAATCTGGGTGCATCTAAGTTGGGTGCATACATATATAGAATTGTTATGTCTTCTTGTTGAACCCTTTACCATTATATAGTAACCCTCTTTGTCTTTCATTACTTTTGTTGATTTAAAGACTAAGTTATCTGAAATCAAACCCACCATGCCAGCCTTCTTTTTGCTTTTGTTTGCTTGAAATATTGTTTTCCACCCCTTCACCTTGAGTCTGAATGCATCCTTGCAAGTTAGATGTGTTTCCTGAAGACAGCAGATACTTGGCTTTTGTGTATTTCTCCATTCAGCCAGCCTATGTCTTTTTAATGGGCTGTTTAAACCATTCACATTTATTGAGAGAAATGATAGGTGGGGCAAATTTCTGTTTATCCTGTTGAGTTAAACTTTGTTGTTTTGTTTTCTCTTTTGAGCCATTGTGGTATCTGGCCTTTGACTTTTAGCTTTTGAGTGATTTTACATAGGTGAGTGTTTATTGTGCTGATCCATGTGTAACACTGTTTTAAGTAGTTCTTGGGGGACTGGTCTTGTCTTGGTGAATTCCATCAGTCTTTGCTGATCGGAGAATGTCTTTATTTCTGTTTTGTACACAAAACTTAGTTTTGCAGGGTACAAGATCTAGGCTGGGCAATATTCTGTTTTAGAAGAGTGAGAATGTGGCCCCAGTCTCTCCTTGCTTATAACGTTTCAGTTTAGAAGTGTGGTGTTATTCAGATGGGCTTTCCTATGTATGTTGCCTGCTTCCTTTGCCTTATAGCTCATAGGAGGGCCTCTTTAGTGGATATTTTTGCCATTCTGATGACCGCGTGTCATGGTGTCTTCCTGTTTGCAATGAATCTCACAGGACTCCTTTGAGCTTCTTATACCTGGATATCTAGATTTTTAGCAAGGCCTGGGAAATTTTCCTCTATTATATCTTCAAATAGCTTATCCAACTCTTGTGTATTTTCTTCTTCACTCCCATTGATGCTCATAACTCTCATGTTAGGCTTCTTCACATAATCCCACATTTCTTATAGTCTTTGCTCTTTTATTTCTCTGCTCTACCTCTGTGACTGACTTATTTAACTGGAAGGTGTTATCTTTAATACCTGACATTCTTTCTTCTGTTTCATGTACCATGTTCTTGAGGCTTTCCACTGTGTTTTTTGGTTCTTTGAATAAATTCTTCATTTCCCGGAGCTCGGTTTGAATGTTCTTTAATATTTCGATTTCTTTAGTGAATTTTTCTTTCAAATCCTGGATTTTTTTTTTTTTGTGGTTTCTTTGTGCTGGTTATCCATTTTTTTCTTGCATATCATTGAATTTTCTTACAATCCAAGTTTGAAATTCTTCTGTCATTTTAGTGTTCTGATTTGAACCGTTGTTCCCCTTTGGGGGTGTGCTTTCTGTTTGATTTTTCATACTTCCAGAGTTCTTTCACTGACTCTTTCCCATCTGGATCAGCTGTTTTTTCCACTTTTCAGTTTTCATTTGGAAAATAATATGCCCTATTTAGGCTCTGCTCCAGTAGGTGCTATTTAGGAGCAAGTCAGATCACAGCTGCTACCTACCAGCCTGGATATGTTTGTGTTTCTATGTTTGCTTGATCTGCCACTAGGGGGAGCCACAACTATGTTGTTCAGGGCTCTTCCAACACAGTTGAGAGGCTACTCCTGATGGGAGGATTTATTTGGTGAGCAATTGTGGCCTCTTGGCAGAATTTTTCTTCCCTGACCACGGACCCCACTGTTGGCAGTTAACCAAACACAGAAATCCAGTTACAGAATCATAATCCTACTGGATGACCTAAATCTGTCTGATGAGCAAAGTCAATGGGCTGTCAACTATTGATCTGTGCCAAGGCCCCATGGATTCTCACTAGTTGCAGAGGGAAAGTGGCTTTTCTTGTATCTCCCTACCTCCAGGGGTGGAGCCTGCCGCTTTTGGTGAGAAAGTTGCTGGCTAAGAGAAGGTGGTGATTCCCCGGTCTGTCCAGCACCCCAGCACCTGTAAATCCCACAGGTGTTAGCCTCCCATGACTGGGAAAGTATTCAAAATTCACCCATCAAAATGTGCCTGGCTAGTTGAATATAGATCGTGGAATGGCAGAGCTTGTCATGTGAATCCCTGGGCTGGGGGAAGGAAGCTGCCCGACACCATAGTGTACTGCAGCATCTGGATTGTGGACCCCCAAAATTGTGACCACCAGCCCACAGAGCACTAGCACTGGGAGCAACTCTTCAGGAGTTGGAAGGTGCTGGATTGGAGAGCTGAGTCATCAGGATGCCCTGTTGTCTCTTTCGTATCACCCTCCTGCAATCTCATACCTGTTCAGCAGGAGCTCTTGCTCTTTCTGACCCACCCTGAGTGGACCTATTCACCTGCAGCAGTTTCCAGGTTAGAGTCCCCTTCTTAGTGTCCACCTTTGTTTTTCTGGACTCGCTGACTGCCAGAGGCAAGGTGTCTGTCTCTTAACTCCCTCCAGTGGTAGCTCAGACCAGTCCCTCCTCCACCCAGTGCAATCTTGGCACAGAGTTCCAGGGAGTTCAAGATGCTTCCCACTATCATCTTCTCCACAGAGCCCTATGTCTCCTGCCATGATTTTGCACTGACTTCAGGCATATCCCTGTCTGAGTGGTTGTGGAGGTCAGTGGGGAAGCAGGACGTTCTCCTGTGGGTCAGATTACACTGTACTTGCTGACCAGGTGGGCACAGCCTTCTCACACTCTATTCTCTATTGTTTGTCTTGCACTCTCCAGATTTCACAATCCTATCTCCTGTTCACCTTTTTCCTGTTTTGCGTGTCCTACGCTGTTTCTCTGCCAATTCTCAACACTGTTCCACTTGTGTGTAGCAAACTGAGATCTACACCTCTTTCTCTGGGAGGAGGAATCCAGGAGCTCACCTTTACTCCACCATTTTTATTCACCTTCAAATAATTTTTATTTTAAATTTTGTTAATGTGTAAGAGAAGGCTTAGAAATGTCTTGAATTTGACCACAATTCTAGAATTCTCTGAATTTCTAGGATCTTTTGGTAAATAAAGCAGTAGCAAATGTTACGGAAGTTGCCAAGGTGTTTTGGTCAGACCACTGGTATATCTCATTTGTGGACACTTGGGAAAAGATGTGGGATGTATGTGTATGTATATGTATGTTTATTGGGGAAGAGTCTATGAATTGTGTGCCAAACATGTCAAAATTCACATGTACACATCTAAGTTTGAACACTCACTTGCTAGAGGCTGTCAGAAAATCTCTTACTGCTCCTTAGACTCTGTCTTAATGCTAGTATAATTGGACCATTTCATGATGTAGCATATTCAAAGAAAACAATGATTTTGAGGGACCACATTATTATACTAAGCATTGTTTTAGAGTCAATACATACTATTACTTTCTTTCTCTCCTGACTTCTGAACCAATTAAAAAATTATACACAGAATTCAAGTAAATGAAAGTCAAAATATTACCCTTATTTTAATGAAGGCTTTGGTGAATGCATATTTAGGTATTGTTTCTCTGTCACTCTTGAGTTAGATTAGCCCAGTCATAGTGGGTGACCCTACTGACTAATCACATACCTCCTCCTTGCCACCTGGAGGAGCAGAGCAGAGTAGAATGCACCAGGACACAAAAGGACCTTGGAAGGATCATTGTGTACAGACAGGAGATGGCAAGAAAAAATTAGAATGGACTGAACCTACTTTCTCTTTCCCAAAATACCAATTGGCAAAGTCATCTTTCTGCCTCTGGAGAGAATGACTCAAGAGACTGGGATGGCCAGAGTGTGTCATGTGGATTCAGGACCCTATGCAAGGAAACAGGGTGTGGGAAATAACAGTTCCTGTGTAACATTAACAAACCACAGTTCTTTCACATTTGTAGCTATAACAGTTTTTGTTGCTTTTAAATTATGAGGATTATCTTGATATTTATTTCTTCATTTCAGAGATGAGAATTTATGACTCCATGAACAGATGGACTGCAAACAAACTTGATGCTGTTGTTGTAAGCGTGGAGTAAGAGAGTGATTTTCTTTGACTACGATAATTTTTGCCTTTATTATGCAGATATTTGGCTTCCAAATCAAGTCAGCTATGCTTCAAATATAATTTTAAAAATTAATATATTTTACTTGTCACCATTGCAACAGAGACTGCTCCTCAAAGGGGTTTAGTGTTCCATTACTTTCCTGTTATTGTAGGAATCTCTGAGTTACAGGCCAGGATGAGAATTGTTTGAAACACTGTTGCTCTAGACACATAAAACTCAGACCTTATAAGGCCTTACGTGTGTCCCAAGTAACATAGCTAGACAAAGAAGTAAACTAACCATTATACATTTGGGATATTGGGTTGCATTTGAACAGGTAAGAAAAGTTTAATTTCAGAATAATATTTGTTTTGAGTGATGTAGGCAGTAAAGGTTGGAACCAGTTGAGAATTTTAAGCCACTCTCAGGAAAAGTGATCGTACACTCTGGATTTTGCCAAAACATACCAGAATGTCTTAGATGTGATCAGTATTTTCTGACTCATATTGGTATGCAATACTCTGAATTTCTGAAATCCAGGATACATTCTGAAATTCATCAACAATAGGGGGAAATATTTTTTCTTCCACTTTTCCCCTAGTCCATAGTAACAAGAATAGTTAGAGACTTGTAATTCAATAATCCCTACAGGACTTGACATAGCTTTTGTTTGTTTGTGTTTTTACCTAGGAAGCTTTATAAGTTTAGAGAGAAAAGTAAAGATCTGATCATCTAGGGAGAGTATTTGCTATCATAGTCATTATGCTTACTTATCTCAAAGAACTTCCTGTATTGGGGGATATTTCTAATATATAATATTAGGGTGTTCTTTTTATCGCCATAGCTTTTGAAGTAATGTAAATCTTATTATTTTAAATCTGTTTTAATATAATGGTATAAACTTGTGCCTGGTTTATATAATCTATCTAATCCTTAGAATTTGTGTTGTTTCTTTTCCCAAAAAAGTATAAATCTTCTCATTCTAAGTAAAGATATCAACATCTTTTTGATATATGCCTATTATTTACAATTTTCTAGATAGTTTATAATAAAATTATAAGCACCAACATTTAATATTAAGTATAGATTTTTGTAAATTTTATCATTTGGAAGATCAAAAAGAAAAAGTCTGAGAACAGCTTACTGGAGGTATTTTTCTGTTTTACTGGTCCACATGTATTGGGGAAAAATCCATTTACAACCATTAAAACAATGTGTGATGATTTTCCTTACAAATGAATTTACCAGAAATAGACAAGCTCTGTAGCATGTTTACATTTTATTTATATTTCAAAATTTTTATCTAGAATCAACTGCTGGGCATTATCCCTGATGAAGCATATGCATTACCAGCTTGCAGAATTTTGATCTAGACCTTGAAAAAAATAGGACACTTGTCTAGAATATGCTTTTAGATCTGCTGCCTTCAAAAAGTTATGGTGCTTTTTAAACAAGAGTGTTTAAAAATGTTTATATCACCAATTACATTGAGAATATGATGTAAGCTATAGAGCATCTCCAATTTAAAATACAGATGAGCTAAAAACTTTGCTTCCAATCCTGAGAGAGTTCATCACACTTCCCTGACTCCTCAAACACAATGCCATGGACCTTAGGTACAAGATTGGAAAAAAAAAAAACGTAATACTAATTTTCATTTTAATCAAGAGTTAATAGAAAACTCAGGCTTGATTTTTTGAAGATTGAACAATAGGCCTGGTGTTAAGTTGCATCTATTTGGTATTTGAGAGCTGGTTGGACAGATACAACCATAAATGCTTTATTGTTCTTTCTTAAAGCTATGGACTAGCTCCTAAACACAAGTTTCCTGTTGCGTTTGAAGATGTCCTTACTGCAGTCAAGTTTTTTCTTCAGGATAAAATTCTTACAAAATATGGAGTGGATCCCACCCGAATTGGTGTTGCAGGAGACAGTTCTGGCTGTGCTTTATTAGCAGCAGTGACTCAACAGGTACGTTATATATGTCTTTATGGTGGGAGGTAGAAGTGGAGGCTTATTTTTCCCCATAGATATTCAGTTCTTCCAGCATCATTTATTGAGAAAACCATTCTTTTCCATTGAATTCCAGTGGCACTTGAGTAAATAATCATTTGACCTTAATGTTACTATTTCTGTATTCTTTTGTTCCATTGACGTATATACCTATAATTGGGTCAAATACGACACTGACTTCGACTTTATTCTTCCTTTTAAAGAATTGTTTCTAGTATTCCATATCTTTACCATTAAAATATTAGAATATCTTGTCATTTTTTTAAAAGAATGGTTAATTGGTTAATTGAATCTATAGATGTGGGGAGGATTGACATCTTAATAATATTGAGACATCCAATTAGTATATGTGGCATATCTCATATTTTATTAGGTCTTCTCAAGTTTCTCAGCAATATGCTCCTATTTTCAGTGTAGAAATCATGCACATCTTTTCTCAAATTTATTCCTGAGTTATTTTGTAAGAATTTCACGTAAAATAATATTTTTCAAATGTTTATTGATATATGTAGAAATACAATTGTTTTTTTTTTGTTCTTTATTTTATTTTATTTTTTGTACTTTTTAAAAAATTTTAGTTATTATAGGTACATATGGTTGTATATCATTAAAGGGTACATGTGATATTTTGATACAGACATACAATGTGAATTAATCAAATCAGGGTAATTGGAGTGTCCATCACCTCAGGCATTTATCATTTCTTTGTGTTAGGAACATCCCAGTTTCATTCTTTTAGATATTTTAAAGTTCACCCTAACTTATTGTTGATTCCAATCACTTTGTTGTGCTATCAAATATTATTCATTCTATATAACTAGCTAACAATATTTTGCATCCATTTACCACCCCTACTTTATCCTCCCCTCTCCACTACTCCCACAGCCTCTGGAAACCATCATTCTACTCTTGGTCTCCATGAGACCAATTGTTTCTACAGTCTCCCATCCAAGTACTAACCAGGCTCCACCCTGCTTAACTTCCGAGATCAGACAAGATTGGGTAGATAATTGTTTTTAACATTTAACTCCCACATACAAGTAAGTACACCTGAGATTTGTCTTTCTGTACTTGGCATATTTCACTGAACATAATGTTTTCCAGTTCCATCCATGTTGTTGCAAATTTATATTGGCCTTTTACTATTACATCCTCAATAAATTCACTTATAATTTTAGTGTTTTTTTTTTTTTTAAGTTTCCCAGGATTTTTCTAAACAAGTGTATCTTCAACAACTAGAAACAGTTTTAATTCTTCCTTTCTAATCCTATGCCTTTTTCCCCCTTTTCTTTATTAGTGCACTGGCTAGAGCCACCAGTACAATGTTGAGTATAACTCTCCAGCTTTGGATCTGAGGAGAAAATTATTCAGTTTTCATCAACACATCTGATGTTAATTGGATGATTGTCATAGGTAGCTTTTGTCAGATTGAAGAAGTAATTTCTATTCCTAGTTTTCTGATAGTTTTTATATAAATGAGTACTGAATTTGCCAAATGTATCTTAAAGCATCTATTCAGATGATCATGTCATTTTTCTCCCTTATTCTTTTAATGTGATAAATTATGCCAATAAACTTTCAAATGTTAAATTATTCTTACATTCTAGGCATAAGCCTCACTTGGTCATGATGAATTAACATTTTTATATATTTCAGGTTTTGATTTGTTAGTTTATTATAAATTGTGTATTTTTGAGAGATTGATCTGTTTTTTAAAAGTCTGTCAAGTTTTTTTTTTTTTTTTTTGAGACAGAGTCTCACTCTTTTGCCCAGACTATAGTGCCGTGGCATCAGCTTAGCTCGCGGCAATCTCAAACCCCTGGGCTCAAGTGATCCTCCTGCCTCAGCCTCCCAAGTATCTGGGACTACAGGCATGTGCCACCATGTCTGGCTAATTTTTTCTATATATTTTTAGTTAGCCAATTAATTTCTTTCTATTTTTAGTAGAGACAGGGTTTCACTCTTGCTCAGGCTGGTTTCAAACTCCTAACCTTGAGTGATCCTCCCGCCTCAGCCTCCTAGAGTGCTAGGATTACAGGCGTGAGCCACTGCGCCCGGACCAAAACTCTATCAAGTTTTGATAGAAGGGTTATACTAGCCTCATTAAATAATTTGAGAAACTTTCAAAGTCCTCCATTTTCTTTTTAAAAATTTTATTGAGGTATAATTGAGAAATAAAAAATTATATTAATATAATTATATTAATATTAATTGTACATATTATATTTAATATGTACAACATGATGGTTTGGGATACATATACATTGTGAAATGATTATCACAAAGAAGCTACTTAACATATCCATCACCTTGCATAGATACCATTATATTGTGTATGGTGAAAACTCTTAAGATCTACACTCTTAGCAAATTTCAAGTATACAATACAGTATATTAACTCTAATCACCATGCTATACATTAGATGTCCAGAACTTATTCATCCTGCTTAGTTGAAACTTTGTACCCTTTGACCAACATCTCCCCATTTTCCCCACCCACCCCCATCACCTTGCAACTATACCCCTAACCCCTGACAACCACCATTCTACTCTTTGCTTCTATGAGTTTGACTTTCTCGGATTCCACAAATAAGTGAGATTACCCAGTATTGGTCATTTTGTGCCTGACTTATTTCACTTAGCATAATGACCTCCAGATTTGTCAAATGTTGTCATACAAATGACAGGATATCCTTCTTTTTAGAGACTCTTTTTAAAGACTCCATAATATTTCATTGTGTGTGTGGCATGTATGCATATAGATGTACATACATACCACATTTTCTTTATCCATTTGTCCACTGACAGGCACTTAGGTCTATATCTTGGCTATTGTGAATAATGCTGCAATGAACATCCATATACAGTTATCTCTTCACATTACTGATTTTGTTGTTTTTGGATATCTACCTAGAAGTGGTATTACTGGATCATATGGCAGTTCAGTTTTTTTTAATCTTTGAGGAAACTCAGAAAATACTGTTTTCCACAATGGCTGTATCAATTTACATTCCCACCAACGGTGCATAAAGGTCCCTTTTCTCGGCATTCTTATCAACTTTTGTTATTATTTGTATTTTTTGATATTCTGACAGATCTGTGAGGTGAAATCTCTGTTGAGCACTTTTTCATGTACCGTTGACCAGTTGTATGTCTTCTATTGAGAAATGTCAACTGAGGTCCATTGCCCATTTTTAATTGAGTTATTTATTTTCTTGCTATTGAGTTTTTTATACATTTTGGATATTAACTGCTTATTAGATGCCTGGTTGGTAAATATTTTCTCTTCAGTATATTTGTTGATTTTTTCCTTTTCTGTGCAGCAGCTTTTCAGTTTGATGCAATCTCATTTGCCTATTTTTGTTGCCTGTACTTTTGAGGTCATACCCAAAAAATATCATTGCCAAATCTAATATCAAGACATTTTCCCCTAAGTTTTCTTCCAGTAGCTTTACAGTTTTCTTTAAGTTTTAAATCTCTGATCCATCATTTTGAGTTGATTTTTGTATATGGAATAAGATGAGGATCCAATTTCATCCTTTTGCATGTGGATATGCAGTTTTCCCAGCACCATTTATTGAAGAGATTATTTTTTCTCTTTGTGTCTTCTTGGCACATTTGTCAAAGTTCAATTGACCACAGTTATGGTTTGCTTTGTCTCTGACAAAACTCATATTGAAATTTGTTCCTCAATGTGACAGTGTTGGGAGGTGGGGCCTAGTAAGAGGTATTTGGGTCATGAGGATGAATTTTTCATGAATATATTAATGTCTTCCAGAAGGAAGGAGTGAATGAAAATGTTGTTTCACTCAAGGGGGTGGATTAGTTCCTGAGCTAGGAACACAAGCAAGGAATAAAAAAAATTCAAACATTACCACTATAGAAAAACCACCAAACCACAATGGTAAAAAATAACAAAGAAAGGAACAAAAGATATAGAAAACAACCATAAAATAAACAATAAAATGACAGGAATAAGACTCCACATAGCAATAATAATCTTGGATGTAAACAGATTAAACTTCCACTTAAAAAATATAGACTGGCTTAATGGATGAAAAAAAAACATGATTCATCTATATGTTGCCTACAAGGAACTCATCTTACCTGTCTTCACCCAACATATAGGCTGAAAGTAGAGGGATGGAAAAAGATATCCCATGCAAACAGAAACAAAAAGTTATCAGCAGTAGCTATACTTATATTGGATAAAATAGACTTTAAGCCAAAAACAGTTAAAAGTGACAAAGAAAGTCATCAAGTGATGATAAAGGGGATCATTTCAGAAAGAGGATGTAAAAAATCTGTAATAAAATTCACCAAACAGCACAGCACCTAGACATATAAAGCAAAATATTACCAGATCTAAATAGAGAGACTGTAATACAGTAATAGTTGGAGACTTTAACAACCTACTCTCAGCATTAAACAGATCACTTAGACAGAAAATTAACAAAAAAGAAATTGGATTTAAACTGCACATTAGACCAAATGGACCTATAGTTGTTTACAGAACATTTCATCCAACAGCTATAGAATACACATTACTCTGATCAGCACATGGAACATTCTCCAGGATAACCTATGTGTTAGGCTATAAACAAGTTACGACAAATCTTAGAAAATTAAAATCATATCAAATATTTTCTCAAATGACAGTGGAATAAAACTAGAAGTCAATAACAATAGAAACTGTGGAAACTGTACAAATCCATGGAAATTAAAAAACATGCTTCTGAATAACCACTGGGTCAAGGAAGAAATTAAGGAGGAAAGAAAAAAAATCTTGAAACAAATGAAGATTGAAACACAATACACCAAAACCCAGGGGATATAGTAAAAGCAGTGCTAAGAGGGAAGGTTATAGGAATAAGCAACTACATCAAAAAATAGAAAGGTTTCAAATAAACAATCTAACGATGCACCTTAAGGGACTAGGAAAGCAAGAACAAACTAAATTAAAAAGTAGTAGATGAAAAGAAATATAAACATCAGAGTAGAACTTAACAAAATAGAGACAAAAATACAAAAGATCAATGAAATGAAAAGTTGGTTTTTGAAAAAGATAAGCAAAATCACTACACCACTTGCTAGATTAACCAAGAAAAAAAGGGAGAAAACCCAAATAAAAAAATCAGAAATGAAAAAGGGAATAATATTTCTGAAATAACGTGAAATAAAATAAAAAAGAATGAAAACTCTTACATACTGTTGGTGGGAAGGTAAATTAGTACAGCACTATGGAAAACAGCATGGAACTGTCTCAAAAACTAAAAATAGAACCACTGCACAATGGACAAATTTTTGCAATGGATATTTTTGCAAAGAGAAATAAATCAGTATAACAAAGGGATACCTGTACTTACAGGTTTATTGCAGCACTATTCACAGTGTTCAACCTAAATGTTCAACCATGGATGAAAAGATAAAGAAAATGTGGTACATATACACAATAAAATATAATCGGCCATAATAAAGAATGAAATCATGTCATTTGGTGCAACATGAATGGAACTGGAGGTCATAATGTTAAGTGAAATAAGCCAGGCACAAAAAGACAAATATCACATGTTCTCACTCATATATGGGAGCTAAAAAGTTGATCTCATGGAGAATAGAATGATAGATACCAGAGGCCTGGAAGGGTGTTTGAGTGGGGAAGGGGAAAAAGGTTGGTTAATGGGTACAAACATACAGTTAGATAGAAGATATAACTTTTAAGGTGCTATAGCAGAGCTAGGTGACTATAGCAGAGCAAGGTGACTATAATTGTATATTTCAAAGTAGCTAGAAGAGAGAACTTAAAATAGTCCCAACATACAGAAATGATACTCAAGGGGATGGATACTCAAAATACTCTGATTTGATTATTACACATTCTATGCATGTAATAAATGCTCACATGCACCCCATAAATATGTAAAATATTACGTATCAATTTTTTTAAAATTATAAATCAGACAATATTAATTTATCTGATATTTTTCATCATTTTCATACTATATTAAATATTTTACCATCTTAGGTCCAGTAGGGAAATAAATGTTAACTTAGACATCATGTCAATGTTTGTAGAATTCAAAATGAAATAGAAGGATCCATTATGAATATTTTATATGTTAAGGGGAAAGTGATAATTAGCCTAAAAGAGATTTGTGCATGTGATCTCTGTCTTTTTCCTAGATTGGTGAGATTGAGAGTGGGATGACTGAGTGTAGGATATCAATGATAATCTTCTTTGGTTAGTATATCATTTACCTAGGGGCACTGGGGAGAGATTTGGGATCAGGAACTTTGTTTCATTTAATTTCCATTCTACAGTTGTTAAATCTCTAGCATCTGGGAGTCCATTGTAGAGGTGGTAGGATGCCATTTCCTTTTCTGAAGTGCCTCTTGGGTTTCAATTTAGTTTCTCCTTTGAGCCCAGCCAGCCGCTGTGATGAGAGGTTGACTTAGAGACACATAATCTGGTACTGAGATTTTTACTTGTGCAGCATCAGGTGTTTCCATTTGTTCAGATGCCATTGTTGCAGATGGCAGACTCTAGCTGAGACAATTATTCCTGGCAGATTAATTCAAGGTTCTCTCCTCTAATCTACAGGGTCACAGACTTCAAAATGCCCTTTCACTTTGGAAAGGAAAGGAACCTTTCTATCAAATATTCAATAATTTTCCCTTGCATGTCGAACTTTGTGAACATCAATAAGTTTTTGCATAATTTTCTACTCTTTGTTTCCTAAACACTGCACCATTCTCTCATAAGATGCTTATCAACTGGCTTTTTTTTTTTTCAATTTGGTCCATATACTTTTGCATTGGATAATGTTTCTTAAAATTATGGTATGATTGAGAATGTTCGCCTAGCAGTCAAAAAATTTATTTTAAGATTGTTCTAAATTTTTAAAAATCTAAAAAAATTTTAAATATCTTTTAAAATTTTTAAATAAATTGATATTATTTAATAGTTATATTTATTCCATTCACCTTTGTTACTTTAGTCAAGTGGAATTTTTACAAACATATCTACTGTCAGTTTCCCCCAGAAATATCATATTTAGGATTTGGTTATTTCCATTGTTGACTTTTGACAAAAAAAATCATTATATGTATCCTTCTCCTCTTGTGACTTTCTGTCTCTATTTATCTCTCCCTTCCCTGCTCTCATTCTTTCTCTTTTTTTCCTAACACACACAACCAATATTTTGAAAACTTCAATGTTGAAATGGGCTTGATATTTTTGAGCTATTGATAGATATTACAAATATTTTGAAAATAATTATGATATATCACATCAATGTATGTAGACTTGTTTATATCATGATTGCTTAAGCGATTAAAAATAAATTTCATTCTTCTGGTATTTTGGAAATTTTTGCCTGACAGAATAACATTATATTTTTTTCAGATACAGAATGATCCTGAAATAAAACATAAAATCAAAGCACAAGTTTTCATTTACCCAGTCTTACAGATAATTGATAGCTTTCTACCATCTTACCGAGAATATGAGCATGGTATATTTCTGACAAGGGACAGAGCCGTAAAACTTGTGAGTTTATATGTATTCGGGAATGATGAAGCATTTTACCAGGCCATAAAGAGAAACCAATACATGCCTCTGGAGTCAAAACATCTGTTTAAGTTTGTTAACTGGAGTATTCTTCTGCCTGAGAAATATAGAAAGAACCATGTTTATACTGAACCAATTCTTGGAAGACCAGGCTATTCATTTCCAGCACTTATGGATAACAGAGCATCACCCTTGTTGGCCAATGATTCCCAGTTAAAGAATTTGCCACTCACCTATATTCTTACTTGTGAATATGATATCTTAAGAGATGATGGACTCATGTTTGTTTCAAGACTTCGAAATGTTGGAGTTCCAGTTACTCATGATCATGTTGAGAATGGATTTCATGCAGCTTTGTTATTCATGATGCCACCATTTTATTTACGTCTAGGTTTTAGGATAAGAGATATGTATAATAGTTGGCTGGATAAGAATTTATAAATATGTAATGTATATGTGTGTCCCCTTACATAGTGAGTTGTAATTTGTGGAATTTTATAGTTGTTGTGCAAAGAACAATGTCATTTGTGCTGTCTAAATCTAGATTTGAATCAGTTGTAACAGTTACTGCATGTCCTTGAACACTTAGACAGGGCTGAGAAAGAATTTAATTTTCAAGGACATATTTACTACAAATATATAATAAATACTTTTGAGAAAATTCACTCAGGAATTCAGAAGAAGCAGAAACTTGCTTATAAAAATAATTTTTGGTTGTGTCTCTTTTCTCCTAATTTAAAATAAATAAATGACCAAAAGAATTTCTGACTTGCAGACCCTGCATATGTAAAATGTGGTAATTCCGCCTATTTTCCCCTTACTTATAATTTATTATAATTATGTTGATCCTAATAGGGACCAACATTTATTGAAGCTTAGAAATAAAAATGATTATTGGCAAGTTATGGAATATAGTTCTCAGATAGGCACAGAAATTGTAGTAGTGAGTGAAAAGAGAAAAAAAACAAGGAACAAAATTGCTGCTAAAAATGTATGGAAATCATTGACCCAGATAAACTCTAGGGTGCCCTGTTTTATTTTCCTATGGCTGTTGTAACAAATTACCACATATTTGGTTGCTTAAAACAACACCAGTGTATTCTCTTACAGTTCTGGGGGCCTAAAGTCCAAAATTAGTATAACTGGGCCAAAACCAAAGCATTGGCAAGAGCCACATTCCCTCTGACCCTCAGGAGGGTCCATCTGGGAAATTATTCCGGATACTCTCCCATCTCAAAATCCTTAATTAACTACATTTGCAAATACCCTCCCCACTTTCATATGTAAAGTAACATTCGGGGATTAGGATGTAGGTATCTTTTAGGAGATCATTTTTATTTTATTATTATTATTATTATTTTTTGAGAGAGAGTCTTGCTCTGTCACCTGGGCTTGAGTGCTGTAGTGTCAGCCTAGCTCACGGCAACCTCAAACTCCTGGGTTCTAGCAATCCTTCTGCCTCAGCCTCCCTAGTAGCTGGGACTACAGGTGTGCACCACCACCCCCAGCTAATTTTTTCTATATTTAATAGAGATAGGTCTATTAAATATAGATGGGTTGCTCAGGTTGGTCTCAAACTCCTGTCCTCGAGTGATCTTCCTGACTCAGCCACTCAGACTGCTAGGGTTACAGCCTGGGGCACTGTGCCTGGCCAGTAGACCATCTTAAAAAACATTTTTAGTGAAATTTTACTTTATTTAAAAGGTAGCAGGTCATACTATAATTTAAGAATGTATCTAAATATGTATTTGATAAATGAAGCATATCTGAGTATAGAATAGAAAAGCTTTTCCAAAAATCTCAAATATTTCATCTGAAATTACCCAAATAATAAATTACTTCTGCAGGCCTTTTTTGAGTGGAATCATTAACAAAAAACTTGGAAATTTATTGCTGTGAAAACAATAATCAGTTCAATCAAGTTAAGAAGTTGAAAATATGGTAACAAATGTGAGTGTATGTGTTTTGTTTATGTGTGTAAAAATCCATAAACCAGTTGACCGAAGAGCAACTCAGATATCTAACTTGTTTAGTTAATAACAGACTTTATTGTCAAATATCCATTTTTCAAAAGGCATTTAAAAATTACAATTTTGACAGCCTATAAACCAAATAAAATTTTTTATAAACATAGAAATTGACTATGTTTAAAGAGCCATGTTCTTCAGTTCAATTTCAGCATTCGGAGGTTAAAAAAGCATCCATGATTATCAAAATGAAAACAAAATGAGTGTTATTGGAATTAGCTATTTTCCCCACTGAGATATAAAATCTATATGGAAGTTTGATATTATATACTATAAGAAATTATAGCTTTAGTAGTTCTGATTTAATCTCCTTTAAAGTCTTTTGAAGTGTGTGTTTAAGTTGTTATAATTTTTTTATATTAATAATAACAAATAGGTTTCCAGTTCTTGTCATTACTAAGTATCCTGGCTACCAGTTTTAATCAGGAGCAATAAATCTTGGAAATCTCTTCATTTTGACAGCAAATCCAGAAGAAATTGCCAATGTGCAGGCAAACCATAAAAAATGCAGCTCTCCAGAAAGCACATTTTGTTGATTGTTCGATTGTCTGAATATTTTCACAATGATTCTTGACTAAAAATGCTTTCAATTTTGTAATCATCAGTGTGCAGTCTCACTAATTAAATGCTTGGACAAGAAGGATGGTTCACAGACAGAGAATAACTGGAAGAATTTAAGTGTTAATTTCTGAATGTACTTTTCCTTTTGTGCTACATAAGTATGTGGCAGAAATGTATGCAAAGAATAAGGTAGGCCAGGAAAACCTTATTTATTTATTTTGCAAATCTGATCTCAGAACATTCCTGGAAGAAACCACAACTGAACCAACTTCTGTTGCAGTCCCTTATTCTGGGCTCCTGGCTATCCTCTTGTGGCTTTATCCAGGCACTGATTATTGTTCACATGCTACAAGATTCATTTCACTGGGACATACTTTCAAAGTTGGTTCCCTTTTATACGGCGGCATTTGAGCATTGTTATTGGGCCATTAAGTTTGGAAATATTCAAATAAAAGTTATCTGTTCTAATTTATTTTTGGACAGCATAAGAGGAGAGGTGCTTACATACCATGTCATGACAAATAAAAATTCCAACCTTTTCATTCTCTTTTCTAGCTACATTTTCCAGACATTGATTTGTACCCACATTTCAAATCTTTCTCTAAGAGAAATAGTGATGCAGAATTTGAGAATCAGAATAGATACTCTTTAGGTAGCAAGAGAAGGGTTTGTATTTCAGTTTGCCTTAACAAAATTTTGATGATAAATCTCCATAATCTACCTTGATAACATCCAGGGAAATTTCATAGAATAAATTCTTAACTTCATCTGTCCGAACTTTTATATATGTCATTGGAAAAGGCATCAGCAACAAATGGATTCACAGTAACATAAGTTTTATCATAATAGAATAAGTTTTATTTAAAACTAGGTCCAACATACTTGAAATTACTCCAGGTGATAAGAAAACAATAAAAAACTCACAGTTCTTTTTAGGAAGCAATCCAGCGATGTATTAATATCAAAATAGGACATAATTTGAGCCATAGTGACACAGTAACAGAATATATATATGAACATAATTTATTACATCAAAAATTATAGAGAAGAACCATATGAGCAAATCAGTAGATAAGGAAAATGTGTGATAAAATTAATAGCTGGTCCTAAATTACATAAATCAGACGAAAACTTGAATAGATTAAAATTTGTTAAAATGATCAAAGCAAAATTACCAAACACAACAGACAGGGTTATTGTAAATAATCACTGAAACATTTTTGTCTATTGAAATTGTAAATAGAAAGTGATGTCTATTATCACTAATATATCATAAGTTCATACTAATTTTAATTCAGATTTGTTTGTCAACATTTTTACTGTATATATGTATCTTCTTTTTTTCACACTGAGATTTCTGGTTCTCAACAAAAAACTGGAGACAACAAAATTATAATATCATACAGTTGTTCATCTGTTTTATCACACATTACAGAGAAATCATTTTCAGGACAATACACCAATACCATCAGCAGTGTGATTATTGAAAATAGTTATGTTTTGTTTTGTTTTTTGCATGTCTTCCCATTTGCTTCCCATTGTTTTTTATTTCAGCATATTATGGGGGTACAAATTTTAAGGTTATGTATCATGACCTTGCCCCCCTCCCACCTCGTCTGAGCTTCAAGCATGGCCATCCCCCAGACAGTGCACATCTGACTCATTATATATGTATATACCCATCCCCTCCTTCCCCCACCCACCTGCCCAATACCCAATAAATGTAAGACTCAATACCCTTCACAATAGCAACAAAGAAAATAAAGTACCTGGGAATATAGTTTACTAAGGAGGTAAAAGACCTCTACAGGGAGAACTATGAAGCACTGAGGAAGGAAATAGCAGAGGATGTAAACAGATGGAAATCCATACCATGCTTCTGCTTCTGCTCCCCATTTTTAAAATAAACTTTTTATGACATTCTCGAGGGGGCGGAGCAAGATGGCGGATGAGAAATACTGCCAGAGTGTCTCTGCAAAAAAGACAGTTTCTAGAAGAAATTAGAAGAAAGAAGCAAGCAGACGAGCATATATTGGCCAAGGGTTGGAAGGAGGGGTACCGAAGACTACGGGAGACTCCACAGGAGGAGGTTGTGGAGTACAACTGGAAACAGAGACCTCCTGAGTAGTCTGGAGACCAGTGGCAAGAATAGGTGTAGTGGTTAACTTTCCCCTCCCTTGCATCTCGGACTGCTGGTGGGATCCCCAGAGGGTGGAGAGACCTGCAGATACCAGCCCAGAGATGGCCACCACCAGTGAGCAGTAAGCTTGTAGCAGACATGGCACCACGCTCCCAACTCCCACGGGGCACCTCCATGTGCACAGACTCAACACGAGAGGCAGGCGCCATATTGCTACACTTTCCCCTCCCCCAACCCTAACCGTGGCTGCTGAGAGAGACAATATAGCCACCAGCTGTAGGCATTACTAGGGAATGGGACCTTCCCTTTTGGGGACCTTCAGCTGACTGAGGGGTACTCAGAGTGTGAGCTCCCTATCTGCCAGTCCTCCCAGGTGCTGCTGGCCCAGTGACTCCAGGAGAGTGGGGCAGACCCTGAGGCTGAGAGACATCAACCCAGCTTGGGCTCCTGTGGGTGAATTAGGACTGGCACTCCTCTTCCTGTTGAGATCAGGAATTGAATTCGGGGGCCCAGAGGTCAGACCTGTGGACCAGATCCTTTGCACCCAGGTCTTGCATTGCCTGGGGCACAGAAGGGATATTCATGAACGGCCTACTGAGGTGTATGTGCATTCAGGGTCAGATCAGTGTCCTGATGGACACGTCTCAAGACGGGGCAGTGTGTCCGGCCCAGGCAGTGACCCTGCCTGCTGACAGAGACCCAGGAGAAGCCAC